CTGCTGAGTTGGTTTCTGTGTTTATGCCTACTCCCTTTGGGGAATGTTTTGTGGTACAAATAAGAAGATATGGGAAATGCTTTCAGAGACCAAAATCTTAGTGATGTTATCTTCCAGTCCATGTTTACCTTGGTAGCTCACTTCTTTTAAGTCAGACATAGCCACTGGAGCAAACAAGTGAAAATACAGACAGAAGTAGGGCACGAGGAGTAGGTCTGGAGTCAGATTGCATAAGTCTTTATCTCAGGTACACAGTTGGAGGTGTTAAGTGTTCTACATCTCTTTGGTGAAATTTGTGTTGAACACACCGAGGTTGGAGGAAAGGGCCTCCTGCAGACACCTCACCTGGTGGGCAGAGTATGAAGGACTGAATTCAGAGCAGGAGTGTGCAAACACTAGAAGGGTTATTGACTATCCGATGGTGCACAATATATGAGATTTCTGGCCTTTGGGGAGAGTATATTTGTTTGTTTGTTTTGTTGGTTGTTTGTTTAAAAAAAAAGAAAAGCAAGAGTGATGCTCTTGGGATGGTGAAGTGCTTAGTGGTTTGGAGCAGGGATAATCAAGTGGCTCGTTAAGTGGATGGAGAGGTTCAAATGGTGACACCTGCACAAACCATATCCTGCAGCATCTCAAAGGGTTAAAAGGACGTTACAAGAAAAAGACGTTTTGTACTAATTGTGTTAGTATTTAATATATTATAGCGCTTGATTCATATTTTAAGTAGTTTCAGATGTTGTCCTCTAGGCACTCAAAACTAAAGGTAAGTCACCCAGTAAACAGGTGTCTTACAGAAGAGGTAAAACCTTTTAGTACCTGGAAGCTTCAGATTTGTTATATTGGCAAGAAATAGATTGCTGCAGAGCCAGCCAGCATGGAAGAGAGTATAGTTAGATTTGACATATCATGGTCCTTTAAAAATGTGTATTCAGATAGGGAAGTGAAAATAGCCTTTTTTTCAAGAGCCATGCCTCTTAGCCGTGTTTTCTCCCATGACGACATTGGTCAGGGAGCTTTAGGGGCTCCAGTGAAGCCATGTACACTTTCCTTCTAAGCACTTTTTAGAGAATCCTCTGTGAGAACTTTTACAATTGTGACTAGATCCCAGCCTCTCCCCT